TTCCTAATAAACAATCGTGGTACAAAGCTCAATAAAAATATTAAAAAGAAAAAATTTTGGTTATTAGATTTTTTGATTTTTTTTTTAATTTTTTCTGTTCTTTTACAGATTGCATTTTATTTTTTTTTTATTCTCTAATTTTATTTATACTAAATTTGATCATTTTCTTTTAAATTTTTAAGCGACACTCAACAATTTAAATTTATTAAATCTGAAAACCACAACTGCCTCCACCGCGATTTGACCTCGCGACCAACGATGTTAGAGTCGGAGGTCCTCGCGCTGAACTATTTTAGTATTGTACCAGAGTGGGAATTTGTGCATTTACTTCTCAACAGAGCATAACTAGCACACCAAAAGTTTCAACTGTCCCTCTCTGCATCCATTTTGCACTAGTTCAGAGATAGTGCTGATATATGAAGTTCGGAACTAGCGCTTTGTCAGACTTGTCTCTAAATTTTACTGCAGGGTATGTATGTATATATATAAGCTAACCTTGTTTTTTAACTTCCGTTACTGCACCTAATTCACGCCAATCCACTGCATCGGGCAATTCGACATTGGCTGGCGGTATAAAGGTGGCGCCTTGCTCAAAAACACTTTGCGTACTGTTGAAAATGAAGAGACAGAAGGTTTTCTTCTACTTTTTATATAAAATACATCGTTTAGGCTTACTCAATGCTATCGTCGCTGGCAATCATGATGTTTGTAAACTCCTCGTCACTCAAATCTGCGTATTCATTGACTCCCAATTCATAGTTCGTTAGTCCTTTTGTATAGTTCAGATTGTGTTCTTCGATGAAAGCGAAATTCTTTAAAAATAAACGCTCCCTCTTTCGCTCTTCCGTATTAGTTTCATAATGTTTGTTATAAACCAACTATAAGAAACAAATATTTTACAAACTGGTGAGGTGAGGTTTTTTGTGTAGGACTAAATAATCAGGTTGTAATCTGGTTTAAATCTATGTGATTTACGAATAAATTGAAGCAGATTGCTTGGCGTCAAATAGGTCAGTTGTTCGTCTCTCAACACATCGCTGCCAAACACTCATACTTGATTCAAAGGCGGGGAAGAGACTCCAAAAGTGTTCCGCCATATCACCCTCTTCAAGGCAAAAAGGTTAAATAGGGTTGCCAAGTATACCGATCTCAGTCAGATGTTTGTGCCATATAAAATGTTCAGCCAACAGTCCTGCAGGTTGTATGCAGTCCAATCTATTCAATGAAAGCAAATACCCTTGCTACATGAGTTTCGCTCACCTGCAGCCCCTCGAAGCCTCCCAGTCATTGTCGAGCGAAATATTCACTCATTTTGTGATGGTGACTTCGATGGCCGAAGGTGGAAGTGCTATAATGGGTTTCGGATCAAGGAATACCTGGTATGAGCCCTCTCTGGCCAAATGTTCAGATGATTCATAACCAGATACTCCCGAGTAACCTGGCACCCAGAGTAAAACAAGTTCATTGTGGTTTTCAACTTAATTTGTTCCAGACTTGCATTGTCGAACCAATCTGGAAGTAGTTAGAGGGCTGCTCATTGCTTTCAGCGCAGTTTGGCTGTTACTACAGATACGTAAACTCCTGCGCCTTCACCTACTTTCTGCCACGTAGCCCATGGCATTGTGAGTTGTAAATACCTCGGCTGGAAATACCGGAGCATGTTACTCAACATGAAGTTCATCCCCATTATCTTCGATATAGAGATTCCGACCCGGTGTACGTTTTTGAGCCATAAGTAAAAGTATGAGCCCAGACTCGGCGTTGGGATTAAACCTCAGTAATCGTAATTTTAACTTTTTTAAAATTACGATTACTGTAATCGTAATCTAAGTTCGTTCGATGAAGGATTACTGTAATTGTAATCTTGTTTTTTAGCTTGTTGGGATTACTGCAATCCTAATCCTAATAGTTTAGTTTAGTAAATTGGACTTGCTCACACAGCTCTTGGCTCAATCCTTATCCATTCGTCCTGAAATATGTTAGCCGGAAATGCGATTGCTTTATAAAAAAGAGAACCATTTTGAAATATGAGCTTTTTAATCTCTAGAAAATAATTTATGCAACCTCACATACGCGGTTTTGCATTTTGTTGATACGCGGTTTCGTACTTTAAACGACGATATGTATGTATTAGGGATGTTAATTTTTTAACTTTTTACGATCCCGGGATGTCGTTATGACTATCCCGGGATCCCGGGATTTAGATATTCATTATTTTCAACAACTTAAATCGAGAAAATTGCGTCTATGTATGTATATTGTTTGAGAACTCTCCTACCATATAATAAATAATAAATAAATGGGTTTGAAACCTACTTTTTTATTTAAAGAGGCGTTTTTATTTTTTCTCTCGGTCGTCAGGATTTATTTTAAAGGATGTTGTATTTTCAAAGGTATGATTAATTCCAAAAATTATTTAATTTAATGCAATGCCCAGTTAGAATAAAAATATGGGTACCAAATTAAAGAGGAAAATTCTTTGGAATTTAAAATGATTAAACATTTTTAGATTCACAAGGACGAATAGGTAACTTTTTAAGTTGATAAAGTTAGAAGGACAAAATTCGGGGATGTTATCGAGTTTATATCAGTCCTTAACATATAATTTTTTCAAAAATAAATATTGCGAAATTTCAAGGACAAAAATTTAAAAAGACATTTTCAATACTTAGCTAGATTCAATGCGCAAGACATCTATAAAAAAATATTAATTATTAAATAAAAATAGAAATATATGGTCAGGAAAGGGAGTTTCTATTATTGCCATCAGTGCAAATTACAAATCCTGAAAATCTCGGGACTATTTGCCAAAAATCTCGCGATTTTTGCGACCTCAAAAAAGACGGAAACCCGGCATCACGGGATTAGCTTTCCTAGTATGTATGTATCTACCTTACATTACCTTGAATTGTTGAAAATATTGACGATCTTCATCAATGGCTGCATTGCTTAATCCAAATGAAACACTCCAGCACAAGTAGAAAAATGTAACTATTATAAACTCTTTCATTTTCAACCAAAAGTCACCGAGTGTACTTATCTCTCTGCGTGTTAAATAAGAACTAAAATTAAGAATATTTTCATATCAATGAACACGTAATTGGATTTTTGAATGTCGTTTACCCCATTGAATGTTGATGGCTAAGATAAACTAGTTTAGGCAACTACTGCTACCTGCGGTAATAAAAGATGCATACGTTAAAGTACGTAGCAGCTAGGAAAAAAGGAATGAAAATCCAAACACAAAGCGATGTACTTATAAGATATATCTGCGCTGCACCTGCCATTCAATAATGAAAGGCAATGGTCGCTGTTTTCTACTCTTTTGACACAAAATGAGCTGCTTGATTGTTAATTACATTTTTATTAACATTGCTTAACTAAAAAATATTAAAGTATTAAAATGTTTAAATTACAAATGTGCGTTGTAATAGTCTTCCGCGTTTATTGTTCGTGGACCGCCCTGATAGGCTACGATGTAGATGTTATCAATTTCCAATTCACTCAGATAGAAATTATGCGCTGCGAAATAAAGAATAATTTATAAAAAAAAAATTTATAAAAAATAAAAAAATATGTATTTAATTAGTAAATAAGTAATAATTTTAATACATATATATATGTATGTATATTATTTTAAAATATTATCACTTTATAAAAACTATTGAATTAAAAAGTCTCCAACGAAAACATATGTACATGTCAGACAATTCTGACCGGCATCAAATACATACCGTGATAAGAATTAATAATAATAAACAAGTGTTTGCACTTAATGCATGTAAAAAAAACTGTCTTCCTATTTGAAAAAGTGTACCGTGGAGACAAGAATTGACGTAGCTAGATAGGGGCAGGAGATGCTCGAGCCTGAATTACTTTGGTTTAGAGACCCTTTTTTCCGCTCCCTTGCAGAAAAATAAGACAATCTCCTGCCTTCCTAATTCTTTGCTCAAAGTTAGGTTTCCACGACAGTTTCCTATATACGATCAGGTCCACGTATTTTACGCTTTCCGAAAGCTACAGGCGAACATATTCAAACGAAAGAATAGTTGCTTTCGGGATCTTGTACCTCCTTCTGCTCACAAAGTGTTTAAAGACCAAATCAAGGCAATTCGAGAATTTTGGAACTTTCGTTTAGAGATTTAACTCTTGAATGCTTAAGTAAAAAATATTACAGGAAACAATAATATCGTTGCGTTGTCCAGTGACGATTTGTTGATGTTGTTTTTTGTACTTATGTATACAATATATATCGCAAATCCTTAGAATTGAAATTAAGTAATTGCCTGTTCGTTTAGAATATCTAATATTATAAAAAAAATCCCAAAAAAAGATAGTGCGATGCCATTCAAAATATTTCACTAGCAGAAAATATGGTTATGAACCACCAAAACCACTAATTTACGTAACGAAAGTCTAACTGGTCTTAATACATATGATAAGTAAATAAGTATAAGTTCAATTCTCTTACCTTCGACCCAAATTTTTGAATGTTTGTGGCGTTTGTTGAATGCTTCCATATAGTCATTGTACTCTGGGATTTTTGTGTCCAACTAAAAAGCAAGCAGAGGGAAAATTAAATTGCAATAAATAAAATTAATTTAAAAGCATCTCACCTTGTGAACACGCCCGCTTATCATGATGCGTGGGCACGCCGGTTCCATGGGATTAACGCCACGCTTGTTACATGATCCTGTCTGCTCTTCGCTGAAGAAGAATGTCACTTTGTTATTGTGCAATGCATCGGCACCAGTGAAGTCAAAATCCGCCAGCAAGAAATGTACCCGCCCAGTCGAGGAGCCATTCAAAGCGCTATCATCGACAGCGATTACGTTCACCATTGGATAATCGGTGGTCTTCTCATTATGCGATATGCTACCCACTGCAGCCCAGTTGGATTGATGAACCAGTTGGCGGGCTAGAACAGCATCAGTGATGGGACGCGGTGGTCGACCGTGTGCTGAGTATCCTGCACAGCTGTCTAACGAGATCAGTGCGAATAAGAAGCCAGTTAAAATTGCGATTGCTTTAGACATGTTGATTGACGCGATCACTAATTTACACATAACGAGAAATGCATTTTCTCGATGCTTAAATAGTATAAGCAGTGGGGTCATATAGTACGAATATTTATGTGGCGATATGTTTTTATTTTACTTAGGGATTTTACATATACATACATATGTACATATTTGTATGAGTACATTGAAATTATTGCTAAACGCACACATGAACGATGGGGAATTCCTAGGAAATTAAAATAAAATTATTACAGTTTAATATAAACATTTACTGATTTACAGTACAGTTTGAAAAATAAGTCCGCACACGAACAGTGTTTTGTGCTAACTGCAACAAAATAAGAGATATTAGTACGGAGATGAGCCAGATATCAGCTTAACAAACAAAGGTCCAGGTTCGTATAAGCTAAGAAAACAATCCAATTCTCTTGAAGTTCGAACCTGTTCTTCACTTACTACTTTGCATGAATATTGCTGTAATGGAACGGAATTATTTTCTTCTGCGATGATCAAGTTTTATAATTATTTTTTGAGTTTTATTTATTGCTTGGAAAATAATCGTTATTTTTCGCTCAGAAAATAAAATTTAAGATAAGTAATAAGATTATTTAACCGTTACGTTATTTTCAAATTTTTTCATATAATATAATTTATTTTATATTTAATTATGTTAAATTTTTGTATTTTATTTCATTATTAGCAGGTCCCATTTTCATCCTAATGGACTGTATAACAAAGTATACAAAACTACATACATACATATGTACATTCAACTGATAAGCCTTCATTTAATTTAAATACACGGTACGTTCACTATCTTTTGCGGTAACCTTTACAACTATAATAGCACCTTAAGCTTAGTTTCTAGATTGCTTTATGATGTGCGTCTTAGTTCCTTTCTATGTCCATATTTTGAGTCCGATGGAAGTGCAATCTCTTCGTAGATCGAAGTTTTTTTAATCTCACCTTAAGGACTAGCAGTTGTGTGTTCTTAGAAATATATGCACGTGTATGTTAACACTTTTGATGATAGGTACAACAATTAAATACGTATGTATGTATTTCCTGATACTTTTCTTAAGAAAATGTAATAAATTCTGTGTAAGTGTATTAACAGCTTGTGAAATTACCATTTCCATATAGAAAAAATTATCAGGCATACTTTATATGGAAGAAAATGCACAATGCCGCCTACTAGAAAATATATTAAAAATGATCGCGATTTTCTAGTGCATACCTAATACCTGAATAAAAAGTTTAAAATTTTTAGGTGTAATTGGTAAAGTTTTTTGAATTTTTAGAAAAATTTGAAATGTGTATTTATGTATATGGTCCTGGCATTTTATAAAAAAAAAATAACAAACATTAAATAAATAGAAGGAAAATAACCCAAAATGGTAAAAATGTCACTTAACTTAATACAAGTGTACATATGTATATCACAAAAACACATATCTGAACAATAAGTGGTATGAAAGATACATATCATGTCAAAAGCTACTTTTTCACTAGCTGAGAAGCAGACAAAAAATGGGAAAAATAATTCGAAAACCATGATTTCTATGGATTTTTTTTTAATTTTCTCAATTATGGTAATTTTTAATTTTTTTTTTTAGTCATCTCAATCGAAAGATCCTGTCTTTTTACATAGAAATCATTAATAAAAAAATTTACTTTTTTATTTTTAGAAGTTATAAAGCGCTTTAGAGCGCGCTAAACCGCTTACCATACACGTCACTTTAATATTGTTATAACTTGGATATATGTATATTAGGGTGGCCCTTAGTTTAATTTATCGAATTTTGTTACGTCGCACCCCTAGATTGGTGAATATTCATGAAGAAATGTGTTATCCAAAATTTCCGGTCAATTGGAGAAAGTTGACGCGTTCTGACCGTCCCCCCAAAGTTTGAATTAATATACCTTATTTTAGTTGTTAAATGGTTTAAAGTGTATATATTTATTAAATAACAAAACAATAGTGATAAAAGTTGTAAGTTGTTACAAAGCAAATATGTATATTTACTTGAAATATGATTTCGTATTAATTTAAAATTAAATTTTGGCGAGTTGTCATTGGATGCCAAGGATAAAGGCTGGCATACAATCCCGCAGTATCAAGACATAGCGTCCACTGGATACTGTTTACAAGCTTTTTCTAACCAGACTTTTCCGATATATAAAATCTGTTTTTAGGGTCTACCGCATCTATTCCAATTTAAAGTAATGCAACTTTTGAAATTGTTCACGTGGGTACATAGTTTTGAAAAAATAATAGAAGATTGTGCCTGATAAAAATTAGTAAGTTCACATTAAAACCTAATTTTCTCAATAATTCGTGAAGTGTTACTAATATATAAAGCCTTGCGGCTATAATTAAAAGATTCAGGAAAAGAACCTTGCGCATTTTGGGGAACCATGAAAAAAGTAGTTTACTACAAGTTATTCCCTATATCTCAGAAACCAATGAAAATATGTAATGATGAAAAGCTGTAGAACAAACACAACATATTGCTTTTTCAACGGCCTTCTAAACTTATAAAAACCTTAAACATTAAAAACCATGCTTTAGTAACACACATGAACTCGCTTTCGATATCGAAAAAAAAAATTTTCCTGACTGAAAATTAAACTTTGAGCTGGTGTACGCGGTAACTGGCAGCAATTCGGAACGCAGTGTTTATACACGAGATTTCGTACTTTGATATGACTCTGCTGGTATATATCTTTTACCTTAAACTCTGGATATATCTGCATCAGTTTATTTTATTATACTGGTCAAGTTTTGACAAAAGAATAAAATCGTTGTATGGTGCTATAACAGGCGAAGGAGCAGATAACTACATCCAACGTATATGGATACAGTAAAAATACAAATTTGACACAGCTGTTTTTGTTTATCTGGCGATAAGGCAAATTCATTACGAAATAAATATATTTTTAAACAGTATATATCGTCACCTGAAATGCAAAAAGTCGTAACAATTTCATAAGAGAAATGTAATAAGTCGTGACTAATTTTTTTTTTTTTCATAAAAAGATGTAACTCCCAAATTCGATTAAATATGATGGACACAATTTTTTATTAGTTACGTCTTTTTGCATTTCAGGTGACGATATGTAGCTTTTGCCTATTTCACCCTTCAAAACAAATAAGCAAAAAAAAGCTCAATTCGGTTACTTTTTTATTATTTTAAATATATTTTTAATCGCGTAATGCTCAACGCGCTAATTAGGGATGGCTGTTAGTCTTAAATTTTGAAATGTAATTT